ACCTAAAAGGCCAAATCGTGCAATTCTGCACGATTTGGCTTTTTAGGCCCCCTGAACAACAATAAACCAAAAATAATGTAAACAATCACAAACTCTTAAAATTTTGAATCGATTTCTCGTGAAAATCGTATAATGTGATTACCGATACGATTTATCCACGTCCCTATTCACGTCACGATGACAAATGTCAACTTTGGCCTCTTATTTGCTTAGAGGATGGAAAAAAATAAAAGGAAGGAGCTGCCCTATCTACGGAATAAACGTCCTTACTTAAACCAAAAATGTCCACGACAAATGGCGGATTTCTTTAGTGTTGTACCATCATCATCGATAAGGCAATATCGACATGCAAATGAGACTTGAATGTTGAAACTGATTTTTTGTGTCATGTTTATAATCTGTATAGTTTACTGTAATCAAAGTATGATTAAAATGTTTAGTTAAAGTAGATCAATATTCATTGTCATATGGGAATATCCGGGATGATAGATATATATGAGATTTTGAATTTATTATTTTGCATTTATAAATGTTCACTTAGACGAAAAATAATATAAATCAGGAGATCTCTATGCATTTCCAATCTCAAGACTGATATTAGAGATTTTAAAAGGTTTCCAAATAGTTTAAGCTGTTTTGTATTATTATATATAGTATAGAATCAATATCAGTGAGTTTGATTTAGGTGAATCTAACACTTCCATTTAATTTTTGAAATAAATAAAATTACTTATATAATTGTAATAACATTATCGATAATCATAAAATCAGATATAATTTTAATAATAGGTAAGTTTATTTGCCTAAAACATGGTATAACAGAAGATGTAGCAAGAGACAGTGTCAGTACAAACATGTTATATTACATAACCATATATTAAACTACCACATTGATAAAAATGTCACAACAAATGGTCAGAAGGTACAAATTAAATTTGCCAAGAATTATTAAATGTTATATAATGTGTCTCTTCAAAATGGAGCGAAGAAAGGAAGGTGATATTTGATCCAATGTTTATGTTCGGCAATCCTATAATTTAAACAAATCTTTCTTTCTTTTTTCATTTGTAGGAAAATTTTAAAAATAAAAATAATAATGATGAAAAAAAAAATCTCGTAGTGAATTGTTTTAATAACAGAATATCGATAATATGTCTGCTTACAAGAACAACACTATTTCAAAATAATCGTTATCAACAATCTTCAAAATATACTAACAAACAGGCAATCTAAAGTAACCAAAGCAAAATTCGGCAAGAGATGAATAAACTACTTAAATGAATCTAATTACATGAGATATTTGGGCTATTGTATGATTTATAGACAACAAAATAACACGTATAATGTAACATTCGGTTGATTTCTGCCTTTTCTACTGCCGCACCCCTTAATGTCGCAGCGACGCATTTTAATCAATACTTAATCGTTCTCACTGTCAATATTTTTGTCCAAATTTAACAATTCATGCGAATAATTCAATAAAACATTTGGCCAAAGATTGGTTTTTACATTTCATGTATTTCCCTTCAACCGGATACGGATATCAAAAGGTACTCCAAATATAGTAAAATGAGGACAGTTGGCATTTAAGATGACGTTACGTATTTTCGATTCCCGTGTTTGACATAAATCAATGTAGTGCTATCTCTTTTGGCCTACGACGGCACGCAGTAGTTAAACAAAGACATAAAATGTTTAAGTTTTCAACGTCTAAATCTTAGAGGATTGAAAAAAATAAAATAAAGGAGCTGCCCTAACTACGAAATGTACGTGCATAGGTACCTAAACAAAAATTGAACGAACAAATGGCGGATTTCTTTAGTGTCGTGCCATAATCTATCGATAAGTCATTATCGATATGCAAACATTTAATTAAAGTAGATCAATATTCCATCTGGGAATATTTTAGGTTATATGGGAATATCCGGGAATGTCACATTAAATTTTGAATTTATTGTTTTGCGTTTACAAATACTCAAACATTACGAAAAGAAATTTGCACAGAAAAAAATATTTTTTTCTAATTTGAGAGTATATAAAAAAGAGAAATCTTTGAGATATAAATCCCATACATTTCCAACCTCAAGATTCATTTTTTTATAGAGAAATTTTTAAACAGATTCCAAATAGTGTAAGCTTTTTTGTATTTATGCATTGGTATAGAATCATTACCAGTGACTGATTTAAGTGAATCTTTAATACTTCCATTTAATTTTGGAAATAAATGAAATCAGTAATATTATCAGAAACAATAATATTATAATCATGCGTTTATTTGCTTAAAAAATGTTATAACAGGAGGTGTAACAAGAGAAAGTGTTAGTATAAACATGTTTCGCATATATAGCATGCAAATGTCAGATTATACAATGTCAATTGACTACTATTGGCCGAGCGCTTTTGATTTATGCAGAAAAATGTCAAACTTTTACCGCCAAGCCAGTAATAAATTATTGTGCAAACTAATCAACAATAACTGTTATTCAATTCAAAAGTTTGACAATCAGATTACGGAATTATCGAAAGAATTGGAGGTTAAGCAGATCTGATTTTAATAAACGCATTGAAATTACAAATAAACGATTAGCATTTAAATTTCAACAATCCCAAAAAACACAGATTGAAAAATTTAATAAACTTAAACTGAAGTGCCCAAGTAACGAAACGTCAACGTCATTGTCAAATGATCAAACACAACCTCAATCTCTGATAAACTTATCGAATAAAACATTAGATCAGTGTGCTTATTCAGTTTCGTAAAAGGGTTTGAATTACGCAGTGGCTCGTCGTGTTCCATACGAAGAAATTATTTGTAACGTTGAGGATTGTCTAGTTAAAAACAACATGAGAAAGGAAGATTTGGAGGCAATACGCCGTTTCGTCAATATTGCGTTCAAATAAACAGCCCAGGCCGAATCTTACTCGAGATGAATATAACGCGCTGAAGACCTTCCGCGAAGATCCTGAATTAGTCATCCTCCGTGCAGATAAAAGTAACGCGACGGTGGTCATGAATACGTCAGATTATAACAGCTAAATAACTGATTTACTATCGGATGAAAGCACGTATAAAAAAGTGAAGAAAGACCCTACCACCAAGATATTAAAAACAACAACTAAGTTAATATCTAAGCACTCCGATACGCTGAAACTTAATGTAAGTGAGTTTGTACCCTGCTGCAAAAAACCTCCAAAACTGTAAGGGTTACCAAAAATACATAAGGCTAACACCCCACTCCGTCCCATAGATTGACACACCAACCTACAAACTGGCTCAACACATGGCAAAGGTACTGTCACCATTGAGAAGGAACACTTCTACACATGTGAAGGATTCATACCATTTCATCAGTGGAATCAAAGATCTACGGTTAACTTATGATGTCACCATGGTCAGTTTTGACGTTCAGTCGCTGTTTACCAACCTACCAGTAAAACACTGCATTGAAATTGTACGTAGAAAGCTAAGGGAACATAATATGTCCATTGAATTTGCAAAATTATTAGAACTCTGCCTAACATCAGGCTATCTATTGTGGAATAATGAATTCTACCTACAAATTGACGGTATAGCGATGGGCTCCCCGGTATCTCCCGTTGTCGCCGATATTTTCATGGAAGACTTTGAGGAGCGAGTTTTACCCATGGCCCCAGCTAGTCCGAAGATTTTCACGGTACGGTAATTTCAACGGTACGTTGATGATACTTTCACAATATTACCTAACGATAGCATACCTTCTTTCTTGGACCATCTTAATTCTTAGTACTAAGATCCAATTTACTATGGAAGGAAGGAAGAGAATTGTGGTACTTTAGCTTTCTTAGATGTTTTAATCAAAAGAAATCCTAATAACACCTTAGGCCATACTGCATTCCGAAAGAAAACTCATACAGATAGGTATCTCAACGGTAATTCCCATCACCATCCTAGTCAGTTAGCTACCGTGGGCAAATCTTTGTGTCAGAGAGCACATGGTGTCTGCGACAGTAATCATCTGGCAGGGGAACTTCAGCATATAAAGCAAGTCCTACATGCAAATAAGTTGAAGATTCCACGCCAATGCCGCAGACTCCGTGTGAAACCACCAACAGTCGAGCGAAGACTTGCCATCTTACCTTACGTGAGAGGTGTTAGAGACAAGATCGGAAGAGTCCTCAGGCGTGCATCTATCAAGACCTATTTCAAGACCCTGAGGAACTCCGTATGCGATCACTATCGTAGATGTCTCTTCGTGGAGTTATTTTAACGCATGTTGAAATTGTATTATTGTCGCGGCACTTTTTGAGAAAAATTAAAAATAAGGCATATAATTAATAACTATTGTAACTATAGTGAAAAAATTGGGTGGTTTGCGTCAATATAAGACATAACTGGTTGAAGACTGTACCACCTCAGTCAACCGTGACCATGGGACCTGTAAAGGGCCCGAAACGTCGCGCGTCGGTTTGTTTGAAAAAATAAATATACGCGATTTAAATCCGCAAAAATAGTTTCATTTCCTATGTGTAACAATCGCGAAAACCTAAGAACTCGATATTTGAGATGACGTTACGTATTTTCGTTTCCCGTGTTTGACACAGACCAATGTAATGCTTCCTCTTTTGGCTTAAGACGGCACGACGGCAAGAGTTAAACAAAGACAATAACATGTTTATGTTTTCAACGTCGAAATGCATCATATACATATAACGTCTGAATTTATATATCTCAACATAACATATCCTTTTGTTTCTACAGTCTAAGCTTATTTGGTGACGACTATAGTTATAATATATAACGACTTTTTTGCCATGCGCTAGAAACAAAAAACAAAAATCTGCAACAAGCACATAGAAAAATTCGTAAGGTTTGCCGGTTCGTTCCGAGCTCAATTGGGAGAGCGTCAGCCACGGTACGCTGAAGACGGTGGTTCGAATCCAGCTGGACCGAAGAAATTTTTCTAAGTGTTCGATCTTTGTATCAAATAATGAATGTAACGAATTTTTCTAGACAAACTTACAGCCGGGACGTCCATTGGCGGGTCATCGGGTTCCGGCGGATAGGGCGGCAGGAAAGCCCGTCGGGGCGGCTTCCCTGGCGGCTGGGCAGTTAACAGCGTGCGAGCAAGATGCGCAAGATCAGCTGTGCTGGACACTGCGCGAGCTTGCGCGCAGAGAGACTCGTACCGGCGGAGTTGGGCGTTGGCCTGTTGGTGGAGATATTTGTTGTAATATAAGAATCAAATTCTTAGGAACCGTTAACGTATGTAGATGCACGGTTTTGAAGGGTAAGGGTGCTGGTGAAATTACAGGTACATGGGACATGTCAATTTATGTCTCAGGGTGACGGGCGCAGTGGCAGTGCCTCTCAGATCTTTACTATTTAAAACTCTGAGTGGCAGTACAACTGTTATGGATAGGCGTGCAGCCTACCATCAGATGCACGACTTCTTTATAAATATAAATATATACATATATATATATATATATATATATATATATATCAATAGTCCGAAAGAACATTTTCCAGAAATAACGTTTGCTCGAATTTTCATAACCTCGAAAGTAACTTTGAGAGGACAATGTATTTTCTTTTAAACCTAACTTAACCGAATCTAATCGTGTCTTTGCGATAAACATCCAACATATTCTGAAAGAACAACGGTTTCGTTATAATTCGGTTTTCGGTGTAATGAAAATTCGAACAAACGTTATTTCGGAAAACAAAATTCGAGTTTGTGATGGGTTACCCAAACAAATTTATTATCAATTCTAATTTAGTGTTATGGACAGACTGATAGTTGATGTATCTTTTTTGTTAGTTATTTTATATTAGACAATACCACATATGTTGCTCTGATCGGAAAGTAAGTAGCTAAAGCACTTGTGTTATGGAAATCGAAAATAACCATGGTACCGTAAACACCCAGACCCGAGACAACATAGAAAAGTTTTCTATATTGATCCGGCCGGGGATCGAACCCGGGACTTCGGAGATGGCGACACCATGAAACCGGCGTGCAATACACTCGACCATGGAGGTCGTCTCCTTTCACTCTCTTGCACATTGTCTTGTATATCTATATATCATAATAACATTACTCCATACTTATCTGTATTCAGTGCATATAGTTATTAATAATATATAATGTGATAAGTAAAAATTTTATGAGTGCGTCAGGGGAAGTTTGAAAGTGGCGTCATTAACGGAAAAGATGAGGAGTATTAGGTTAGGGTGGTATGCACATGTCATGCAGAGGGAAGAATGTCATATGACGAGAAGAAGGTATGGATGTGGAGGGATATAAGGGAAGAGGAAGGCCAAAGAAAATATGGATGGATTGTGTGAAAGATGATATGAATAAGAAAGGTATGGAAATGACGGCTGTTACAGTTAGAGTGGAAGAAAAATACATGTTGTGCTGAGGCCACCTAGAGTGGGATAAGGACAGGAAGACGAAGAAGAATGAAATAAGTAATCTAATGTTTAGAATATCACCACTGTTCATTGAACGCGTAGTTGGGAGACGCTAGTCTCCTTCGTTCCTACAAATTGTGACCTAGCAATGAATCACAATCCTCATAAATTTACATTCAAGATGGAAGATATAGGACATATAAGATAGGAAGTATACCCCAGAAATACGTTTTCGCAAAGTACAACAAACTTAGAGATTATGTACATTTCATTTCCCAACTTTTGTCCCGGTCTGCGGTCAAAGTTAGATGCGACTATATCACATGACCAAGTTTATTTGGGAAGTTTGCTCCTTCGAACAAATAAAGCAAAGTAGCACGTACTATTCGTATCTATTTTGAAGGTACAGATGGAAATGTTTTTGTTTTGACGTTATTGATTCATGGAATACTAAGTTTGTGTATACGTTTACGTTTACTGATAATTTCGTGTAAGATTCTTTAACATGTTATTTGTAAAAGAAATTTGTATTGATTGTCATACAACGACACCTATTGCCTGGTCTCAAACTAGGTAATTCCTTGTACTATGAATATTTCATATGGTGGGTGTTATGCCATACATAAATGGCTTAGGTTGTAGGCTTCGTAATGATATATCGTACTTCCTGTGCGATTCTGGGGTTTAGTTCGCGAATCACTTGAAAATATTTTGTCATTTCATCAGTCTTCAGTAAATTGCAAACTGCGATTCGACTTGGGCAAACCCCACCTGGATGTTGTCGTCCGCCCAGAACGGTGGCAGTCACATAGCTACCCGGTCTACGGTGGAGCGAATTGATTCTGAAGATGATTTTTTCGTCCATAGTATCTTCGTACTCCGACATCATTTCATTTTAGTTTTTTTTTGCGTAATTGTTTGACCACGTCGGGTTCACCAATATGGCGGATATTATACCATCATTTTTTCATACATCTACGTATGCCGTACATAAATTAATAATGCCGGATTAGATGCACGAGATATTTATTGAGGAGTTATTTTACAAGGTAAGACGTCCACTGCTGTATATAGGCCTCCCGTAAAGAATGTCACAACGACCTGTCCGGTGCTGCTTGCTTGCTTGAGGTAAACTAGGGGATGAATCTGGTTTCGCGCACTTTCCATTAAGCGATCTGAATAAAACTTGGTAAATAGATGTAATTCCAATAGAAAAGCCGATAAGCAAACGTTTGAGGTTGTTTTTTTAAAATAATAAGTTATAATTATTTAGTAATACATTTATAAACTTATTATTTTTTATATATGCTCATTATATATTATTATGAGCACTATATTGAAAAAACATAACATCATATAGATAACTCAGGTTTTTTTGGACAGCATAAACCCCTCTATTGCTTCCGAGACCCCTACCGGCCCCTAGGTCTCTTCAGCGCTCACTGGGAAACTATTAAACATTTTGGGAAACTATGCTCTAAAAGTAATCTTAAATTGCTTGAATTTCTGTTAAGGTAAAAGTAAATTATCTACCTCTACGACTCCCTAGTGTAAAGTTTATCTTCCAAACGTATAAGTGAATGTAAAATAGGCACAAACAACAATTACGCGACGACCTTATACACTACCAGTGTAAACAGGTGTCGTTAAACATACTTTTGCTATGGCCATTAAGGGCGTTAACGACTTGTATCACCTTAGGGAAGCACCACATTACAAACGTAGAATTGGCTTGAGCTGGTCAATAAAAAGCGTTAAGTTTATATATAGATTTAAGAGCTAAAAAGACAAAGTGCGTGTCACGTCAGCACGGCGGCAGTCGAACGGAAACGAAAAGCGCACAGGCTTATAGCTTTTCGTTACTGTTTCAATATGCTTTTGTGTGGATAAGTGTGGTGTCTCCTGTACACTGGACTTATATAACCAACTTCGACTAACGGTCCTAAGTGCAAGAACAAAAGTACGTCTTATAGCAACTTACTTTTGTACCTTGTTTTAGTGCTTCTGTTCCTTTGTCTGTGTAGTTTCTTTGGGCGTTTTTGTATTGTGTTTTATTGTATTGTAAAATACCTTATCTGTAATGATTTCCCCGCCAGTGCAAATGGCCTCGCTGACCGCTGATGTAACATCTGTTAATATTTCTTCTAATTCCTGAAACAGAAGACAAAGGCGCAAATTAATAACACTACCTATATATACCTACTGGGATGCACGAAAGGAGCCTTCCCGTAATGATGTACAAATTGTACACTGGCGCACCCTGGGCATCATTCAGCAAGCACCTCATACAGATTCGCAAGTCCTTTTACCACGCGATGGCAAACGTATCCTACGCATAATTCAGCTTTTTACTTATTAGAAATATTAACACTGTGTTCACAACACATATTTACGTTATTGGAACTTGGGTGTTCTACATTCTAAACACAAGAATTATAAGTATTGTCGGCAATCTCAAAATAACAAACAAACTATATTAAAAATTTCGACAAATTAATATACACAGATCATTTAAATTAGATAGCAATAGAATACACAGAGAGTCGTATTCTAGAAATCGACTCAATGCTCAAGTCAGGACTTGAGTATGATTTAAAGCACTAGAAATCATTTGCCACTAGAGACGTATTTCCAGTGCTTGAAATCATACTCAAGTCCTGGCTGAACATTGAGTAGAGTTCTGGAAAACGTCTCTGAGAAGTATTATAGGAACTTAGATTTTTTTTATAGTTAAATAATTTACTTATAAAGGAATTTTTTTTTAATTATCAAATAGGTCAATGGATGGCGGCCATAGATTTAGCATGGATGGCGGCTACTTGTGTAAGTTCTAGGCCGCGATAATAATAGTAAGTATACTATAGCACAAAGTAATATGCCATAGGTTTCCAAACTTTTTGGTTGACCGCCCACAACCACCACCACCCACAATAAAAAATAATTGAAAACGTTTTTTTTTATTAAGTTAACAAAAAAAATCAAAAGAAAAAAATTATATTTAAGCGTGTAGTTTATATAGATAATTCAGTTTTTTTTTCAAATGCTCCCCCTGGGGGCCTACCACAACCTCTTAAAACAACATTACTTTAACCGTACATTGACTTTTCGTACCATAACGCGCTTAAAGCTTATTTGTAATGTTAAAACTATGATGTTTTATTAGCAGCTTTGTGACTATTTATTCACTCAGTTCGTATTAAGACGCGACTTTGACATTAAAGTAATATTGCTCTTATGTCAAATTTAGTAATCTTAAAATAGTTAGACGTAAAGTTAAACGTAATGTTTTAAAACGTAAAATAGTTACAAGTAATGTTTAAAAGTTAAGTTGACTTATTTATTGACATATATTATCTCTTCAATATTTTGTTTATTTTTTATTTAATAGCACATAGGAAATATAAAATATTTCTTGTAAAATAAAAATACGCAATGTTTATTTCGTAAAATTAAGACAGCGCCATCTATATGCTCCTTGGCAAAACTAACAGTTGATACTAGACTATGGTTCCGAATTCACAACGTGACTATCAAGACTCAGCTTGTTTTATTTATTTTTCTTCATGAAAATGCGGAATAAGAATTGAAAACAATGTAATTTTAATACATTTCTTTATTACATACTTTTCTTTTTTTGGCAGTTAAAATTCTCTGAATGTAAATAATATTAAGTACTTTAACATTATACTACAATAACACGATTCGGAACATCAAAAAAGAAGGAGATGGCATTATACAGGTCATAAAGCGTTATTTCTTTTCTACTTTCCGTAAGGAATAGTCAATATTGGGAAATCTTTTGTTCTTTCAGTCACTTTAGCAATAATACATTACTTGGTTGATAGGTTTGTCAGGGTACGAAAATGAGTAATATTACAATAAGCTTATTTTATGCTTACATTGAAATAAGATTGTTTTTGGAAAGGTTATGGTAGGTCCCCTGGATAGTATCAACGCCCCCACAATTGCTTCCGAGGCCCCTAGGCCCACTTTGGAAAACTATGCTATATGCCATCCATATGTTACGTAGAATGAAATCATCTATATGGAATATTGTCAAAATCTTTTTTCATGATACCAAGTGACAGAACGAACAATCGGTGCGCCTGGTGGTAAGCGTCACGCCTGTCTATAGCAGTTGCAGTGCCATTCAGAGATTTAAATCGTAAAAGTCTGAGGGCACTACCATTGCGCTCTTACTCACATTATATCACGTTACTGCTTGGCGGCAGAAATAGTAAGGCGGCAGTATTTGAATTCAAAAATACTTTATTCTCATTAAGACAATTGTCACTTACATGAGAATTTCCCTGGATGAACTCACCGACAAGTAGCTCTAGTGCTTTTAAACATGGTCTGACTGTCACTTTTCGGTGTTGGAAGTAAAGCATTATGATGAAGTAGAATAATTACATTTTCAGAGCCTTTTTTCTTTTTATGCGTGTTATGTTTCTATTGCTTAGATTGTTTTACCAACTCGTGAAAGTTACTTCGCTCTACTAAGTTTTTGTTTCTTGGGAAACAGATAGCTTGGCTCCACTGGCAAAACTTCATTTGATGTTACGAAGCCAGGAGTTTCATAATACGTCGTACATATTTTTTATGCCCTCAAAAACGACTCACGGAACTCTTACGAATGAATTAAAGAAATTTCAATTGCTACCGAAATAAATTGCTTCCCGACTGCACCTAAATGCGAGTTTAATTAAAAATCTGAGTTAGTTTGGACTTGCAGTCGCATTCAGCTCTTTCAATTGTGGGTTTATAAATAGGGTTGCCTCTAAGTCATTCCACAAGTACACGAACTTGCCTTCAAAAGTTTTGTGAAGCGAAAACGAGAAGAGAAAACAGGTTAATTGAATTTTGCTTGTCCGTTTCCTTCAAGCTTCTAGTTTCTCACCTGACTTTTGTTACGAGTTAAAGTCATTTGGACATTAATTAATTTATGTTGGAATATGGGAAAGCCAGATACTTACTTGATTGAGGTAGCATGCTCAAAACACTTCCTAATTTTGTCTAAAATTTCAAATTATGAACAATAACGAAATCCATTCAACAGTCCTCTTCCCAAGTACTCGCTTTGTGTTATCGTAGTTTTGCAAATCGGACTTTAGCCGAAGTAACAACCCTATGCTGTTTTGCCTTTCCGTCTATTCCCTAGCCAGCATCAGTTAAAGTTTGTACTACGTCTATCCATCACTAGTTTCGCGAAGTTTGATTGAAAACTCTTGATATTGAATTAATATCATTGATTCCATCAATTAATTTAGTTCTAAATGCACTTGATTGGGATACCTTTGAAGTTAGCTGGTAGTTCCGAATAGTTTGTTGTTAATAGAATTACAATTTGTAGGTTGGTATAGTGAGGAATGTCTACGGTACCGAACACCAGGTTTAAAATTTATAAAGGTATTTATTTTCTGTGATAATGATAATTATCCGACATAAATGTGATAATTATCTATGCCGATACAGAGTTTTGTCTCTTTAATTTTTGACTAAAAATGATAAACAATGAGAAAAATAAATGAACATGAAGAAAAATCTATTGCGTAACCATTTAGATTGTGATTTTTTTGAGATTGACACCATACACGATTGGATACGTCTCAGACACAAGCGCATAGCACGAAGTTACTAGTGGTAGCATTTTGTTGTTCCAATTAATTTTATAAATAAGATTTATTTTAATGTATACTTATCAAGCATTATTATCGTAACAATTATCATGATGATTAACAATGATAATTATCACTTCAAATCCTGCTGAAAACTATACTAATTAAACCCACGAATAATGAATTTCAAAAATTTTTTCTCGTATTACTATAAATAGTTCGATAATTATAAAGCCCGGATCTTGAAATAATTGTATGAGGTTAATACCTGTTTATTTGTGAAAAATTTTCAACTCTCAAAGAACAATTCGACTCCCAATGGAGCTAAATTCCGTAAAATGTTTACTTTTACGCAAAATATTTAAATACAGTTGTAACAAAAACACAAATAGGCAAAACTTTTTAATTTTCTATCCAAATCTCTGTTTTCCTTCGTTTCCATTAAAAAAAAACCACGAATGGTTTTGTTTTGAGTTGTACGTGCGCTAGACGCTCACATCTTCATTTTTCGATGTTTTTTTTAATGTGGAAAAATATAATGGGACTTGAAGGGGAAGTATAAGGGTTCCTGTCTGTGCAGAACCTGTCTAGGTACCGCCTTAAATTCAAACTGAAATATATTCTTATATCATAGGTAAACATAACCTAACTTCCGGTTAAAAAACCGAACTCAAAAGTCATTCATGCCCTAGTTTGCCACTCTTAGTTTAAATTTAAATGGGCCCATGTCTGAGGTACCTTCTTTTCAACAAAAAAAGAATCATCAAAATTGGTTCACAAATGGCGGAGTTATCGCGTAACATACATACTAAAAACAATTCAGACGAATTGTGAACCTCCTCGTTTTTTGAAATCGGTTAAAAATTCATTAAAATACTCATTCATAAGGCAGATTACCCTGAAAAGAATGAAATGGAAACTCTAGGGGTACTCTTTGTAAATAAACATTTGTACATATTCTAACATTTACAATATTACAACCTGCAAGATCTAAACGGGTCACCAAGGAATTTTGTCATACAAGAACGCATAAGCTGTACCCCATCATTATCGAAAATCTATTAGCGAAAGCCACCCTATTTCATTAGAAGGAAGTCTGACTGTTTGAATTAGAATTAAACATTGCGAAACGCACCAGATTCTAAAATTACCTATTGTCACAATATCGAAAAAGCAACTTCCGTGCGTCACCGCAACTGGTTATTCTGAGAAGCACGTTTTTAGGCGTAGCTGAATTTGTAACTCGATGAAGTTAACTTGAAAAAAGGTAGCAAGAAAATAGGTGGTATTCTAAGATATGTTAAATTTCATCAAGTTTACGAAAACTAGATATCATTATTCGGAAGCGGTCAATAGTCTTCGGTTTCACGATAACGTGACCGCGGTTCGCGGCCAATCACAGCACGGCGTTCGCTTTCTTTCTTTTTTTTATATGGCTGCGCGAGTATCATTTGTGCTACGCCAGCGGCTACATAAAATATGACATTTATACTTAGACTATGGAAACCTTCTAAGCATTTATAAGTGTACTCGATTAGCACAGTTATGTCAACTACTTGTTGTGATTATTTTGATTTACCTGTTGTATTGTTGTTAATGATATGTAGTAAATTCTTGCATTCGTTATAATGTTAGGTAATTAAATATGTAATTATTGAATTATAAAATTACAAATAGTGCATATATTAAAAAACAGTGTATATATTAAAAAATTAAAGTATGAAAAGTAAGCTCATTGGTTTTTTTTATTGTACTCAGTAATAAGAACAATCGGCGACAATTATTACAAAAACGCTGCTTTTGAGAATAAAAAAATATTATAATATTTGAAAGCTAGATTCAGTATTGGCTATATTGGCTATGTGTGTGTGTGTGTGTGTGCTATACCGGTTATAATAATATAAGGGCCGCTTCCCATTGCTTGTGTCCGTTTGCCGTGGGAAGAGGGCCTTAATGCTCTGGCCGTACAGAGGCGTCCACCGCGCGTTTTAGTGTAGCAGGGTTCATATGAACTCGCACATAACAAAAATTCCCGCCCCCGGAACGCTCCCGCGGCCACCTCTGTGTGGCCTGAGCATAACAGTGCGTGGCGGCCTGTTCGGATTCGCCGCTGGTCGGTCACTTCAACCTCGCGGTGCGGCGTGAGAGCGCGAGCGGTCTAACTGTCTATACCAGTAGTTCCCAAACTTATTTTTCTCGTGGACCACTTTCAAAATTTTACTGGTGTCGGTGGACCCCCTGCTGCTACATTTCTACCACATTCTTAAAGACGCCAAAAAATAAAAATTGTGTCGTTTTTGAGTTCTGTCCCTATATTCCGATAGGTGAAATAAAAACGAAAAATGGTACATTTTATAACATTTTATTTATTAAAAGAATAGAATTACAAGAAAAAAATAATAAGGTAATATAGGTTCAGGTTATAATTTTAATTAATGGGAAGGATGTATTTGACGAAGTGTCAGCAAACGATCAATGTTTGGCTTTATTTTTGTGAGCAATAATCGCAAATCCCCCCGCTCTGTGATGTTTAATTTGCTCCTTTTTTTTGTTAAGAGGTTTGTAACGGCACTAAAACTCCTTTCGACAAGGTATGACGAGGGAAAAGCTATTAAAAATTTCTTTGCGATTTCCCACAGTCCAGGATATTTTTCGGGTATTTCTGCTTACAGCCAAAATGTTTGGTAGCCTTTTCTAAATTTCACCTTCAGCTCCTCATTGGTGCTTATCTCGAGCAGCTCCTCTTGTAATACAACATTGGCCACTTCCGTTTCATCAAATTCAAATGGATTTATGATCCATGGTGGTATGTCCATCGTCAGCATATCTTCAAACCTGGTTTTAAAGTCATCATGCAGGGCACTTAAATGTTGACTGTAGGTATGGATATCCTCATCAATACATTCTACCTGCGACAAGTTTGGAAATTGAGAGAATTCGCGCCGACTAATGTTTTGCTTCATAAATTTCAATTTCCCAAGAAAAGCCGAAATTATCCCCTTTGTTTTTATTAAATTCAGGCTGTCCCCTTGTAACTACAAGTTGATATCATTAAATTTTTTAAACAAATCTGTCAAATACGCAATGTCTGCTTTGAATTTGATCAAGTTTTCTTTTAAATCTGGATCTCTACTTTCTAGGAACTCTAATACGGAATCGAAAACAGAGTAAAATCTCGTTAAGCATGCGCCTTTCGACAACCAGCGTACTTCAGTATGTAAGAGCAGTCGTTGGAAGTCTTCATCATTTTCATCGCACAATTGAGCAAATAAACGCGTATTCAATGCATTGCTTCTGATTTTGTTGACAGCTTTTATTACAAAATGAAGAGATCGGTTCAACCTGTCACTTAAATGTTTTGCCACAAGATGTTGTCGGTGGATTACGCAATGAATAGCTGTAAGTCCTGGTATAATTCTTTTGAGATGAGTTATAAACCCACGATATCGCCCGACCATTGCAGGAGCTCCGTCTGTTGCCACTGAAATAATGTTTGTAAATGGAATCGATTTTTCCGTAAAAAAATTACTCAGAACATTAAATATTGATTCGCCTTTAGTGTCAGTCTCTAAAGTTCTGGCAAATAGCAATTCTTCGTGAATTTCTTCCTCCATAATAAATCGGACATATGCCAATAATAATGCTTCATTACCGGGTAACGTTGACTCGTCCAGTTGTATAGAAAAATGAGTTTTTTGCAGATCGCACAAAAAACTTTCGATATCAGAGCTCATTTCATCAATGCGTCTTTGAACAGTATTGTTACTTAATGGAATTCGTTTTAGTACGTCAAATGGAGATTTGTGCAAAACAGTTTTTAAAACCTCTTCAACAGCGGGTAAAATTAATTGTTCTCCGATAGTGTGCGGTTTTCCAGATTTTGCTATAAGTAATGAGATATTGTAAGATGCCCGCAAGCCGTCATCGTTACTTTGAGATGTTGAAGCGAACATACTGTGCATGGTGGGTCTCTTTTCATATTTTTCCTTCAATGTTTGAAAATATTTTAAATCTTTACCTATTTTGTCAGTATGACACCTTTTTAGATGATCTTCGAGCTTTGATGGTTTCATAGAGTCATTGCTCAAAACTTTGTTGCATAATAGGCACATGGGCAATTGTTTGTCTGCCTCTGATGGAACAAAACCATATTTCAAATAATCGACACTATATTGTCGACATTTTTTCTTTGTTGTAGCCATGTTTCGTGTCAGTTACCTTACCTGTAAAAAAGAATGTTTTAGTAACCAAGTTTTTTTCTGAATATAGGTATCACACCGCAGTCTTTGTCAGCACGCAGAAATAGAATTACGGCTTGTTAAGGGGCCAACTAATAACCGCTAAGACAAATACGGACTTTTCACAAAACGGTATCAATTTTAAAGTACCTAAATTACCACTAATTTTTAATAGTACAAATAAAAATGGGTGTACTCAGTATCGAATACTGATCATATTTGTGTGGGAAAAAATAAAAGTCGAAATCCCAAAATTGTCCATAAAAACGATAACTAACATTTCATCAAATCAATGATGTATTTGCGTATTTTTTGTCTGCGCCTTCATTGTTAAAACGTGACTTTTTTATACTGTTTTATAAAATTAGTAGTTATTTGCAAGAAAAATTGAAAAATTAATTGCTATTGCTTATTCGGCCTTTTTAGAGAGGCAGTGCTTCTCTCGCGAAAAAACAATTGAATAAAACGTGCTGTGTTTGTCTTCAAATCGAAAGAGGACAATTAAAATATCTGTAAGTTCCTAAGTTACCTATCTATACAAGCAGTTGTGATCAACCGACTAGTACACGTAAACAAAATACATAAGTACTATAACAAAAAAAAAGGTATTTACTTACTTTTCTCCGGCACTAACAAACACTGATATAAATTATCTCAAACCTTTTTTTCGAAATTCCGGAAACAAATGAATGAGTTTGCCTTTGGCATCAAGTATTTATAGTGGTGATCAAGTTCATGTCTGAACAAGCATTAAGCATTGTCGGGCGGATAGCGCTTTGCAAGTCTGTACATGTACGTACACGAAATTGTACGTAATATCGAATACGCAAGTTTGGACAAGTAAAAGTCGCTTGCCTTATTAAAATATTATCTGCTTAGTTATGTACTTAAAACAATGTAGGTAGGCCCTTATAAAACTATGCTTACATTTTTGCTCTTTACTATCAAAAGCAGATAATTTTTCGTGGACCCCCATTAACATCTTATGGACCCCCATTTTTTGTTCACGCCTACGTAGACCCCCAGCAAGTCTCCCGTGGACCCCTGGGGGTCCACCTGGACCACTTTGGGAATCACTGGTCTATACAAACTCGAATACGCGCTGCCACGTGGATTGGCCCGAGGCCGTCCTGACTCGTTCGTTTTGCGACCTCGCCCGTACAAATCGGCGCGTTTGACATCCAGGTCGTGGGAAGTCACCTTAAAGCTTAATTTATATTGTCGCAGAACCTATTGGAAACGAATTTTTTAACTATGGCATAACTCTGACTCTATGTCAACTGTGTAATATACAAACTTCTTAGATACGAGACAAAAAACAGGCGGCGCGTCTGTTTGAGGAGTCTCGAGCAATCTCGGAAATGCCCATGGCTGCCGTATCGTATCTAGTTTGTACATTACGCAATTGGCATAGATTTCATTATGCCCATTCCATCTATCATTCATTTTTAGATCAATCACTCACCTGTAATATAGTAGGCAGTGTGTGTTTATGATATTGATCAAGCATGGCGTTGGTGGCCGTCAGCTGCTGCACATAGTTGTTATGCGAGTCATAGTAAGTAGCCAACGCAGCCGGGTTCGGGGCGATGCAGTAGTTGAGGAACGCTTGACGGTATTCTTGACGGCTCTGGAATAAAAGGAACATGGCATAAATAGTGTTCTCGTTTTTGCCATACAGTGTAAGCCATTGGGGTGCACGTAAGCAACATCCCCTTACGACGTACCATTATTTTCCTGTACTGGCAAATCCTTTCACGATGACAAGCATTGTAACGTGGCATACGTTACAATGCTTGTCGATATATCGATACGGTAAGAAGAAGAAGCCTAAGGGATTCTAAGGCACCTAAGGTCAGCAAGATTTTTGAAAAGATTCCACAGAGGTCTTTAAAAGAAATTAAATTGGCGACGTCACTCAGTATTGATAACTAAATTACTTAAGCCCTTAAGGACCGATTTCTAAATTCCAGATTGAGGAAAGTACACACAAAAGTATCCGGAACAGATAAGTGTGTGAAAAGCCAGATGCGAATGGAGAACACGGAAAAGTTTTGTCAGGATTGTAGCAACCCGCAAGTTTAAAGGCACTGCCTATTCAATTGGAAGATCGGCGTGATGGGTTGTATATGAATCCAACTCAGATTTTTCTCAATTATTGTCATCTAAATTTATTGTTTTATTTTGATTTACAAAACAAAGTTCTTGTTGAAAAACCTTTTATATAATGAGAATGGTAGTGAATATACATAAATGTAAATGATATAGGTATATATATACACTGATAATTATGTACATTACATTATGAATATGATTAAACATCTATATTTTTTAATAATAAAAAAGTGCATTTGACCTCCATGTAACCTGATGGAACGTGACAGTGAGGTCGACGATGGAGCATACACCTAAAAAAATACCTATTACACACTTATGGTCTATCTATCTATCTCTCTATCTATCTGTCTAACTATCTGGTCTCCAAAAAAATGTGGAAGTCTAACGTTCTTGCGAATCCTTGGAATATTTACAACTCAGTGATGGAACTCCAGCCTACTTCTGTCCCCTGATGATGGAAAGTGAAAACCGACATTAAGCCGTGCAATTCCATCGCATACTTTTCGGGATATATTCTGTACAATATCGAAAAGCAGGCAACTTTACAACGTAAACTTAATATACTAAGATCCATATTTATATATTATAATCTAAACATATTATGTTATTATTAATTTTGCGACAAGAAGTGTTCTTTGAGTTTGTGTTTATATGATCCTATTAGCCATTTTATTTGTTTCCCGTGCAATTAAAATGTTTGTAATCTGTTTATTTCTACACAAATATACCAGTAGGGTTAGCACGATAAGGTGCGACTTGCGCGAGAGCGCGAGATCTCTATGCGAGAATCTGTATCTCACGCTTTATGTCGCTGTACGGTGTTACATACATTTACAAATGATAGTATAATAATTGTTAAGAATGTTTATCAGTTCTGATTACATCTAATAATGATACATTTGATAGGTCTGAAATGAGTACACTGCGCGATGGCTGATTGTGTACTAAACATAAAATATAACTAAATGTCGCATGAATGCGTAAAATGCTACATAAACACAATATTGCACCGTACAGTCCATAGATATAGTATATCTATGGTACAGTCGCTCTCGCGCTAGTTGCGCCTTATCGTGCTAGCCCTACTGTTAAGGCCCATTTAGATGGAGAGAGTTTCTTGTCTCGAAGATACGATTATCGAAAGAATATAAAAAACTTTCCACATCTAAACATTTGCGATTATCGACCGTCCACGTGAGCGATAATCGCCTCGCCTTTCAATATTGAACGTCTCCGTGTACACAGAACTCGAAAGCAAAAATCGTATTTCGAGTTTCTGTGCCAGCCGTTTCTACCACGAGTGCAGTGCGCGAGGGTGTTTGATTGTCACTGCTTTTCTAAGACAAGAATTAATGAAACGAGAACGAAAAAAAAATTTGGATTAAGAAATGTTATAAAATTTGAAAAAAATAAAAAATGTATAGGTATTTCTCTACAATGCAATGAACTTAATATTATAAGCAGTTCCAAATTTGAATGATTCTTGCGTCATTTCGATATGTCCATAGTCAATACCGCAGTAATCACTGAACTCGAATGGCGATTCTCGCACTCAAAACGATTCGAACCGATTTGTACGATAATCGTATGAACTTGAAGAAATGTCATACGAGATCGTGTTTAGACAAGTCGAAAACTCGTAAGCAAGAATCTCCTTACTACATATTTCACTGTGTAAACAGTCGAGGAGGCGATTAAGTTGCTTGCGAATCTCGTATGACATAATCGTAGGCGAGAGATTTTAGTTCTTACCTGAATGTAAACATTATTATGCGATAATCTTATGGCGATTATTGCTTACGATAATCGCCTACGAGTTTTCGTCACGAAGCGTGCGAGAAACTCTCTCCATCTAAATGGGCCTTTAGGTAAACAATATGGTGCTCATGTACAATACAAAAATGTTTTATAAATTATGATAGTCAATTCATTTATCATAAAAGCAATAAGGTATATTTATGCCGTGAAAGCAATTTGTTAATTAAGCGAAAATATTATTAATTCATGGACTTGTTAGAGCCGCAAATAATATACGTTGCTTAATTCGCTTTTAGTGTTTAGAAAACGTTGTTATAAGAAGTATTAAATGTATATTGTTGGATATCAAACATGAAATTTTCGAAATAATTTTCGTTTTGTTTCGTTATTTATCTTTAAAGTAAATAAAATTTATATCGAACATTCATATTCGGACCATTTGTCGGTAGAAGGCAAATTTATCAAGTCAAGATATTAAGGGTTATGCACAATGTTTTGTTTTGAGCGAAAATAAATAAATTAAAGGTAGACGGTAGACGGGACAACTGCATCGCGACTGAATTGCTGCAGACGCGTTGCTAAACGTAACCGTGTGTAACCGCTGTAATATGTAGACTAACTATAAATATCTGTTGTCATTGTCTATTGTCATAATGTGTCCTATAAATAAACTAAGACCGAGAAAAGGATGCTTAGATGATTCGGACATATAGAAAGAATGAATGAAAGAAGATTTACCAAACAAATTGCAAGGCGAGAGCGAGACGACAAGTTGGTAAAGTCCGACAATTACCACGACCAAATTGAGGACTTCCTAAAGAAAGGCCAGGAGTACCCTTTCCGATGAGCATGTTTAAAAGCACCGACGTGTGTTATTAAGGCAATAAATGTGTTTTTTTTATAATACCAAGTGACGGGACGAACAAGTCGTGCGCCTGATGTTAAGCGACACGCCTATCCATAACAGTTGCAGTGCCACTCAGAGCTTTAAATCGCAAAGATCTTAAGGGCACTTCAACTGCGACCGTCACCCGGAGACATAAGTTCACAAGTCACATGTGCCTGTAATTTCAGTAGCATCCTCACCCTTCTAAACCGGAACGCAGTAATGCCCATATTACTGCTATTGTAGCAAAAATAGGTAAGGCGGCAATAGTTTCCGAGACGAACTCTTTCACAAGGAGCTTTTCTGCTACTAAAAAATGTTAGGATCGTAACAAATGGAAGGCTGTTGTTTCTGCCTACCCTGACGGGGTAAAGGCGTGAACTATGTGCTTAAAGGTAGCACATACTTCACGCCTTGATTAAACACTCTATATCAAGCCAACTCCGAGACGTGGCAGTTTTATTTACACGTCCATTTCTATATTTTTTTTAGTTTATTATTTTGTAAATTTATTTACACGGTATTACAGTTAAGAACTAAAACATCGTAAAAACGACACTAATTACGAAAACAATGACAATCATATGACAATACGATAAAAAATATATATACGATTTACAATAATATACTCGATTCTCTAGCATCCATCATATCACAGAATCTCAAGCATTTAGAACGCAAATGCCACCAATCGCCACACAAGCAGATTACACTTCGGTGGCGATGCCAAGAGTTCGTTGGGCATTATGAGGCCACGGAGCGGCAGTGATGTTCCTATGCGATACTGTACGCGCCGAAAGCACTGCGAATGGTTCACGACGTCGCACTCTGAGAATTATTTTAGGGACGTCTGGGACAAATAACCTTACAAGTTGCCTCAGAAGTGCAGGACAATCCAACTCATTCAACTCGCCGCGTAAGACCTGACAAACAGAGACGACCAAGTTGTTGTTTCGCTTCACCTCAAGAAAATTATATGAAGTTTCAAGTAAACACTTTATTCCTGCCTTTAGATTTTTCTGTATTTCAGTTGATTTCTTTTAAACAAGTATGTTTGTAGCATAGCTCCAATTAACGGTTCAAACTCATATATAATTCTAGCAACTTTGTATAGCATGTTATAAAATATTTAAATACAGCTGGATGAATCAGTAGACAGAGGCTTAAACTGGCTCTATTTTTGAAACTGGAGCGGGATCCATTCAGCTCGCAGAGACCGCATACCTGATTGCACAGAGCTATAAACTTATATACAGAACTCTACACGCGAATGGAAATCTTCTCTTAAAGATGAGATTTTACATGTCATCGCTGGAAAAACAAAATAAATTTATTATGAGAAATTCACCTGCTTTTAATTTCGTCTGAGTTTTGTTTTAGAATCCATTTAAGTCTTACTTCTTAGCATGTCTCTACTAATAAGTAAAATTTTGGCGTTCCAATAAATGTTTTCTTTACTTCGCCGACGTGGTATTATTTAATAATATTTATGCTAACTTATAAAATTAAGAACGATTGTAACCATGCAAGAAAAAAAAAACAACGGAAGTGCCAATCTCGATTATTATCGAAACCAATGTCGCCAAAACGCACACAAACAAAATGATAAACAATATGAAATCTTGATAATGATTGCCCATAGTTTCTAATTTAAAAAGATGTAACAAATTCTCTCTGGAAAAATCTGGATTGTTAATATAATTCAAACTTTACACAGTAGCTATATCGTTAAAAGTTCAATACCTATATTGCAAGTTACGATGTTTTGATTTTGTATTGAAATTTTATTCTTCATGCTGCCATCTTGCAGCCAGTAACTGGACTACAACGAACAATTAACATATGAATGAATAGATATAATCAGAAAT